AATAGGACGTCCTGCTAGCCTGTTCGCTTCGAAAATTGGAATTGAGATTTCTCTGCAAGTTTCGTAAAATGGTGGCTGAAACTTTCTAGAAATGAAATTGAACCTGAACTTCACTGATTGCGGCATATTACACAGCATAACTTGGCAATTTTGTTTAGAAAACGAGTAAAATACTTACCGTCGCTAACACTGCTTTTGGAGGCAGCCATGTTGTGTACGCCCTCAACATCAAAATATGTTCAAAGCTTGAGTTCTCGATGTCAAAACTAGCGGATTTCATTCCTGCAGCTAAGCTTTTCCTGACCAAGCTATGCTGCACGGTGTCAAAGCTGTGATTTTCATTAAAAAGCTACACTTTCATTGGTACCCCTGAGCTTGGCACTTTTAATTCACGTCTAATCAGAATAAAGAGACAAGAAAAATCGGGTCGCGGCAAACGACTCGCACGATGCTTTTACCGTCTGGCAATCATCTTTGACCTTTAAGCATCCGCTTTACCGATTGGCTAAGAATGACATCACTACTAGTGTTTCGTCATGGAGGTAAATTCAACATCGCTTTTTTATCAGATTAGATGTTCATTCATCAATCATGGTCAAAGTTACCATTCAGCAAGTTATATGGATATCGCGGTGGGCTTGAAATAGGAAGATTTTTTTTTCCAACGACAGAAGAATATTTTCCATGAAATGCAATAGCTGTGGTGAAAGATGGTAAAAAAGTTGGCAGTCTTCAGCATGACATTGCAAAATTGCTGGGCCCAGTTATGGATTTGCAAATATTTTATAAAGCCAAAACAACGTGCTTTAAACCACTCTCCCAGGTACGGGTTGTTACAATATTGCAACATTGGTTTCATTGTCGGCGACGCTAACTACGTAAACAGTGGTGAACGCGTTTTACGCAATTGACATTTATTTTTCAAATTTTGTTATCAGAATCAAAACAAACTGCAAGGAAGTACACTGTTAATACAATGATCAAAAATAGGTTTTTGTTTTTTTATTTTATTACAGGTGTAAAAAAACACCCCTGGGCGTTTGCTAGGATATGAGCTCAACTCCTTTATTTTATCAAAAGTAGGGGGTGGGCGTTTGCTCGGGCATGGGCTCTTAGCCGGATAAATACGGTATTATATTTTATAAAGTGTTGTGGTTATTAACTCACAGATGTTGATGCAGCAATATTCTTTTGCCTACTCTCAAATTTTATATTAGGATTTAATGTAAGAATCAGTGGTCAAGACGTCGGCCGTGCTACGTTTAGTCATCGCCATGCTATGCTAGTAGACCAGAAATCCGATCACATTTATAAACCACTTAACCACATGACAGACACTCAAACTGGTTTCTTAGAGGTGAGTCAACTAAAATGTATGTTTTGTTGATTGTTTATCAATGTTAAAATTACTAGTACTATCGAAACAGTTTTATTTTGTGAAAATTTGACAAAGAATAAGAGTAAAAAAGAATATGAAATATTGTATATTGCAGCTTGCAAACAGTTCATTATCAGAAATGGCCATTCTTGGTTTTGAATATGGAATGAGTATAGAGAATCCCAACTCACTCATCATATGGGAGGCACAGTTTGGTGACTTTTTTAATGGAGCACAGATTATCATTGATACGTTTGTGACTGGAGGAGAAAGTAAGAAATATTATTTATTATTTTCTATGAGTTATGTTTTAGTACTTGCTCAATTAGAAGTGATGTCTTATTACAATTGTACAGTGAGATTTTATACTACCGGTATGTATCTTCTATGAAGATGATCAATGGACATGTCTGCTGACAAATGTTACTCAATTCTGGGACTTTTCAGGAATAGCACATAATTAGCTAATACTGTAAAATACTTTATTTTAGCTGGAATTAATTTTCGCTGAAAAGACTTTTTGGGTGTTTTGTTTGGAACTTATTTTCACTAATTTTAACGAGCTGAATGTAAAATATAGGAAAAAAGGTACTGGATTTTATTTTCACTGAATCATTCCTTCAGCGAAAATTAATTCCAAGTCAAAATAAAAGATTTTACAGTAATCAATCTCAGGGGGTACAGGGGTAATATTTTATATTTTTAATAACTGATATTTTCCTTATTTTCTTGCCTGCTGACTTTGTCTCTCCGTGGAAAATTCCAACAGATCATGTGTTATCTTGCTCTCTTTATGCCTTGAATAAAAGCATTACCTTGCCCTCTGTTAGGTAAATGGTTACTACAAAGTGGACTGGTTATGCTGCTACCTCATGGTATCGATGGCGCTGGGCCCGAACACTCATCATGTCGTATGGAAAGATTTCTGTTACAGTGCGACAGTAAAGAATACGGTATAGACGGTGATGATATTAATATACAAATTGTGAATCCTACAACACCAGCGCAATATTTCCATTTGTTGCGAAGACAGGTAAGGGATGTCAGTTAACCGCTACATTCAATATCTATATTTTCTGCATAAGGTGTCCATTTTAAGATCTGTTTTGGATTGTTTAATGGTATGAATATGTGCGAAATATTTCAGAATTCACCCTTCATTACTGTGACCCACTGTAGTTTAAAACAAGGGTGAATCTCTAGCCGAGAACATAATTCCAAAACATAAAACAAATTTCAGCAAAAAAGTAAAAATATCAGAGGTTGGTGAAACTATTGTCAACATTCAATTACACATAATTGTTTGGGACTTGTATACATGTACAACATGTGTGGAAAACATTGTTTACACAAAATTTGAATAATCATAGTTATATTTATGTCCCATAAGCATTGCATTTGTAGTACATGTAGTAACTGGACAATAACAATACATGTATTAGCAAATGCAGAATATACGGTGGTGGGTTCCACTATGCTCTACAGTCTGTATGTCTACCTCTGTTTAATAGATGATCCGCAATTATCGTAAACCATTGGTTGTTGTTGCTCCAAAGATGATTCTAAGACTGGCAGCTGCATCGTCTAGTCTTAATGATATGATGAGTGGAATTACATTCCAGCCAGTCATAGGTGATGATACAGTCAATCCAACCAGGTGAGTACTACATTACGGCCAATCATAGGTCATGGATTATACAGTCTATCCAACCAGGTGAGTACTACATTCCAGCCAATCATAGGTGATGATACAGTCAATCCAACCAGGTGAGTACTGCATTCAGGCCAATCATAGGTGATGATACAGTCAATCCAACCAGGTGAGTACTACATTCCAGCCAATCATAGGTGATGATACAGTCAATCCACCAGGTGAGTACTACATTCCAGCCAATCATAGGTGATGATACAGTCAATCCAACCAGGTGAGTACTACATTACGGTCAATCATAGGTGATGATACAGTCAATCCAACCAGGTGAGTACTGCATTCAGGCCAATCATAGGTCATGGATTATACAGTCAATCCAATTTAGTTAGTGACATTTTTAGCATAGGTTATTGTTTTTTTCAAATAAAAAGACTGACCATGGTAATCCCTAAAATTAACAAGCAGCCTGTCGGCTGAGATAGCTCCGCTGTTAGCAATGCACATGGCAATTAAAGAACAGAAGATATCATTAGAAAATGAACAAATCTGAGAGAGGTCCACATGTAGTACCTATATGTATAATATATCAAAGCAATTGGACTTGCGGTTTTCAACAAGAAGTCGAAAATATCACTTTTTACCAAAAATACAAAAATATTCACCAAAATTAGAAATTGAAGATATCATTAGAAAATGAACAAATCTGAGAGAGGTCCACATGTAGTACCTATATGTATAATATAT